CACTTTTGGCTAAATGCCAAAAGTGCAATTTTTCTGCTGATACAGCAGCGCATCCGTGCTTTCTTTCCTCCCCGCTGGGCGCTGCTCTGTGTCCCAGCGGGGAGGAGAGAAAGTGACAGCCGGCCGAGCGCTGCGGGAGGAGAGCGCTGTGATTGTGTTTTGTTTTTTTGGGGTGGGGCCAAAAAAAAATCTTGCACCAGGGCCCTTTGTTCCTTAGCTCCGCCACTGAGCTGAACGGACTGCGCACGTGAGAACTGGAGCCCATAAAACACATAGGGATACTTTGGGATGCATTTTGAGTGCAGCAGCGTACGGAGCCGGTCAGCACACAAAACGGACGTCGTGTGAACAGGCCCTAAAGGACAGTCCAACTTCACTTTGGCAAGTGGCACCACCTGACAAATGTGACATGCCAAACAACAACAATGTATTGACGTGAACAGCCGCCATGTTGTTTTATAGGTAGGCAGTCGGGGGGTGGTAAAAAAAAAACCCTTTGCTATCCATGTGAACATGAGGCCAGGTTTACACTTGGGCAATCGTGCACGAAACTGCACCAATGGCCGTGCGGTCACAGAATTGCACACCACCGCTGATCATGCTACCGGTGCTATTCTTTTCTAATGGCCAGTCGCGCCAGGCAGACCGTGAGGTTTCGCGCTGCGATTACACCTATGCAATAGTCTACTATTGCGGCGGATAAAAGCGCAGGGTGCGTGTTGCCAAAAAAGGTACATGTACCTTTTTTTCAGCAATTGCCGCGCAGATATAACTCAATTGAAATCCATGGGGCCGCATGGCAACTGCTGTGTCTCGGGATCACCCAAGTGTGCACCTGGCCTGATAATTACTCATTGCTGCATTACCTGGACAACATATGTGTATTAGTGCTGCCCTGAACCTAAGCTAATATGAGGATACTTGTGGTATATATTACAGAAATGCAATTTATTAAATATAAGCACAGTTCCAAAAATGATGGCTTGTTTATATGGTCCTCCTCTATGTCGCGTTCAAGCGATTCCATCTGGCGTCCTTAGTTGCCATAGCCACCGTAGTTTCCATGACTAAATATGGCTGAGACGTTACCTAGCTTTAGGATGCAATAGCGTTGCCCTCACCAAAGATGGCGCCTGACCCGGCTTCATACGAACATAGCTATGGCAGAGAGGAGACGTGCTGCAGGTAGCTCTCCGGTACCCCGGCCTCCTCCGCGGCAGACCAGCGAGGCAGATTTTCTGCTTCAGGCTGGAGTGCGGACAATGATGAGAGAAGCTATCCTCAAATTATTAGAAGCCCGGCCGGAGGATCCAGTAGCCTTCCTGGCCGATTACTTTGGGAAGATCGGGCAGGGCCCTGCAGGTGCAGCTGCGGCTGCTGATCGGGGTCTGCAGCTACTAGGACAACAACGCTTAGGCCGCGCCCTGTGGTACCTCAAGCTGGCTCATCACTCCCAGAGGTATGCTAGATGTGTGTAGACTGAACATGGCACCCGTCACCAACGTGGGTTATGTCACACAAGGGAAGGAGTGTTTACATATCTTAGTATATTTAAGTGATCTAAATGAAGTATATTATAGAGTGTCAACATTTCCCTATTCTAGTTACAGGATAAACAAAATTACACTGATCCTGTAGCCCCCTTAAGGCCCCTTCAATACGGTGTGCATGCCCATGCAGAGATCGGCGCCTGGGTGGCTCAGGTGCAGCCGCCTGTACATTCTTATGACAGAGCGCAGCCACACGCCAACCTGAAACCACGCACTTGGCTGCATACTGCATGCACCCAGACCTGTATGGATGTGCAAGTTTGGGGTCAGCATGCAGCCATGTCCTGTCATAGGGATGTACAGGAGGCTGCACTTGACCCTCCCGAGCAAGGGAGTGCACATCCATGTGAATGAGACCTTAAAGTGAGGTGGGGTGGAGGCCCCCTTAAGCCTTTATGTTCTAGTGTGCATCTGCCGAAGTGATCCCCTACAGCGCTGCGCTCCTCCCAGCGCTATCATCTTCCCGTTTTCTAGTTTCCGATTCTTTGGTTGCTTGATTGGCTGGGCCCCGATCACCTAACACCCGTGCATGTGAGTAACTTCCTCTTGGTGTGAACAGCACATTTTTCTGGATGGCATTAAGAAGCGATTTTGCAGAAAAGACTGACGCAGACTCTTCTGTTATAGAAAGTCTGGCAATCGAAAATGTTATTTTTTTTTTTTTTACTTCTACTTTAAGGTGACTTCAGTGCTCCCTCCCTCTGCATGCACAGATGCATACTTGCCAAGTTCAGATGGGCCCGGCTTGTTTGCCGACACCCTGTGGAGGACGTCTTCTTCTGTCCACATCTGCACAGTGCATCCCCATTGGCATCTATGAGGCTCATCAGCCAGCCATGAGGTATAAGAGCCCCATAGAAGTAAATAGGAATGTACACTGCAGGCATGGCCAGGAGAAGTAGACATCTACTGCAGGATGTAAACAGTAACCGAGGCCAGGCCTTTCACACACAGTAAGTATGCATTGGGAAGGAGTGGTGACATTACCTTAAAGGGGCCTAAAGGCCAAGTGCACTTATCCCTTAAAGTTAAATGACCCTTCACTCACAGACATTACATCATCCTAACCTTCCCCCTCCCTATTACAGATTTGGAACTTTTGGGTAGTAAGTACTTGATCGTACTTTCCTGTTCTTTATTGCTGACGTAGCAATTGGTTTGCTCCTCCCACTGCCCGCACGTACTTGAATACACATCATACATTCCAGATCAGACTCCTCAAGTCACCTTTAAGGGCCAACTCTCAGCGGCTCTTAAAGTGACATTAAAGTCAAATCCCCCCCCTCCATGCTGCTATAAGTACTTACCTTAAATGATGCCTCTTGATCCAAACATCTTCTTCCTTCCAGTAGTCGTTTTCAGTAGTCCCTCCAGCGCTGATGTCAGTTTCTGATCCAGCGCAGTCTGCTGTTTCTTCCTGTCCCAAGGAGTCTCTATGGCGTGCACGCTCATGGCTGCGTGCATTGACTTATACAGTACTCTCTTCCTCCTCTCCCCCCTTGTGATCTCCATTGTGCATGTGCCCACACACATCCTCCTGCACAGCCACTCGAGAAGCTGGATTCTACAGCCGGGAGCTAGCTGCCCAGACTGAGGTAAATTTTTACCTATTTGGTAACTTTTTTTTTTTTTGCATATATCTACTCAGGCGTGTGGAATTCCTATCGCCCGACGCCCGGGACATGCAGTTTCGGGCGCCGGGCGAGTAGTTTTTGTATACATTTAGTCCTGCTCCGGACAAGCAGAGCTAAATGTATATTGTGGAGCCGCCGCTCGTTTTCATACAAGTGATCTGATCAGATCACTTGTATGAAACGAGAATCGGCGATCTTGTCCGGCCCCCCCGCCGTGGTTTTCGGGGGTCCCCCGCTCCTCTGGGGGACCCGTGACCATGGCACGGGAGCTCACCATAGAGCCGCAAATCAGACAAAGAACTTCCGTAAAATGTCAGAAATAATATATAAAATATATTAAATTAAAAATTATTATTTTATAAAAGTGACAAAGTAAAAAAAAAAATTTAAACCAACTCCGCTGCCCCTTCCATCTGCATGCAAATAAACGCACGCATAGGAAATTGTGTGTGTTGAGTCCTGCCGCCATTTCACTGTGTGCCATATTGTGGTAGCCTTGCAGCACAACTCTCTCACACTCACAATGTGCAATAAAGGGTAAGTTCACTTTCCCATGTAATATGGGAAAATGGAATTACCCGATCAAATCAGGCCAATCTGATGGACTCTGATGAAGGAGGCGTGACCTCAGAAACGCGTTAACAATCAGGAAGGACGAACAGCCGTCTGGCTAAGTCCATCGTGTAAAGATTTCTTTTCATGCCGGTTTTAACTCGACCTTTGTGAGTACCATTGCACTTGTTTTAATCTTGCTTTATTAAAAAGTTTTGCGTTGTGTTAGGTAAACTCAGGCGAACTTGGTTGCACCAAGCCACCACACATTACTACTTCACTACAGCTCTTTGCTGCATTTTCCTATGAGCCCAGGCTGTGTGATGATGCACCTGGAACACAGAAACAGATGTATGGGACAGTGCTTGAGCTTAAAGAGGCTGCTTGGCAAACTTTTTTTCTTAATGCAGAAAGTGTGGGGGGGGGGAGGGGGGGATTTAAAGAAAAAAAAGAAACAATATGGGCTTTAGGATTTGTGTGAAAATCAGAATGAATTGCTCTTCACTAATACCGTTTTTTTTTAATGTACAGGACTGCTTTTAATAACAATCTAAGCATGGCTTATGACTGCCTCAGTGCCGGAGGAAAGAAAAAAAAGCCAGGTTTGAATGGCAAGACTCACACCGACTTACTGACAAAGATTTGCCAGGAAGGTGATCTACCTAAAGAGATTGTATCTGCTCTCCTAAATAAGATACAGTGCCGAGACCACGAAGCTGTGCCGTTTGATGTCTTCCGTTATGGAGTAGTGATCTGCTTTGTGTTGCTGGAGTTCAGATCTAAGGCAGACACTTTGTTCAACATTCTAGATGAGGATAGTCAATCAGACCAAAGAGTTTGTCAGACCGTACTGAACACTTTGGAAGAAGCTTTGGTTGCCAGTGACTTATCAATCCCTGCTAGCTATTTAGAAGCTGGGTCAAAACTAGGACCCGATTGTTTGGCCATTGCCATGGACCGTGCCCTTCTAGGTAAAAAAACAGGTGTCCATATGAGCCGCAGTGATTTTTTAAAAGAAGCCTGTTCCCTTTTTCTTGATAAAGTCAAACAAGTTAGTTGAACAAGTTCTGGTCTTCTTTATGCTTTATTCTCAGCAAAATGCTGCTTTCATCAGTTCCACCTTGCACCTCCACAGGAAATTAGCTGATATTTTAAAATACTTATGTAATAAAATAGTAAATGTAATATTGCCAAGAGAAAGGGGGTATAGAAACTGTCCTTGTTTTCAGCCATGAGTGTTGGTTTATTTTGGAAATCTCATAGTTAAGGCCTGTTCTTGTCTTGTGGCCCTGTGCTATTGCCTGGTCACACAGTAATGCTGAAAGGTTATGCGGTCCAGCCCTTTGCTTGTGCCAGCTTGAAATCACTCTGAGGCGGTTTTATCAAAACTGGAGCAGACAAAATCTGGAGCAGCCAGTCAGCGTCTCTCTTCAGTTTTGTTCAGGTAACTTTTGGAAATGAAAGAGAGAAGCTGATTGGTTGCCCGGCACAGCTGCTCCAGGTTTTGTCCGCTCCAGTTTTGATCAATTCCCCTCAATGTGTGGTTCATGCCTGTTTACCACTATCCTAGTTCTGGCACAATAGAAGCTCTTGAACTGCATGCGTGCCTACGGTTGCTAGAACAAGGACCACGACGGCATCCCAATAATGCTCAAATTGAATAGAGAATATTGCAGAGCAAAAGACATGTTTCATTTTTTTTCTAGATGTCACAATACATTTCAAGTTTTATATTGTTTGTGGGTAAGATTTCTGGTATAAAAGCGAAACTTCACACAAATAGGGCTTTCTGAGACTTCTGCAATATAAATTATTCTGACTGTTTACATCGAGCTAATCTTCCATGTGCACCTAGAAAAAAACAAAAAGTTTTTATTTGTCATTTAAACATAAGCCTTTTTCATTAGACCTTTTGTATCTGAAAAAGAAAGGCAGTGCCAACTTACTAGAGGAGTTCTTTAAGGTGTTAAACGTAAAATGCTAAACTAATTTGAATGGAAGAAAACTACTCCCACCATCTACATCTATAAAACAAATGTGGTATTTTGGGGTAGCACAGTGGCTTAATGGCCAGCACTTCTGCCTTGCAGCACCGGGGTCCTTGTTCTGAAACCCAACCTGCTTGTAGTTAGCATGTTCTCCCTGTGCTTGCGTGGGTTTCCTCCCCCACTCCAAAGACATGCTGGAAGATTAATTGGCTACTGTCTAAATTTGGCCCTGTATGTCTGTTCTATAGGGACCTTGGATTGTATGAATACCTGTAGTAATAATATTTTTTTATTATTTGGGCTTTTAGACCTCGTTCACACCTGACCGTTTTGTAGCGCGTTCTACGCTCGACGAACGCTCTCCAAAACGCTCAAAAATCTAAATCCCATTGTATTCAATGGTCTCGTTCCCACCTTGGCGTATTTTCGCCCGTCCCTAACGCGCTACAAAACGGCCCACGCCTGAAAAGGTACAGGTACTACTTTGGGCCGTTTTGTAGGGCGTTTTCCATTGGGATACAGCCAAGTAGCCTTCGGAATCGCGGTAAAAAAACCGTGCGACAGACGCGCATATTCAATACGCAAAGGTGTGAACCCAGCCTAACAGCCGTGTAATGTACCAGCCAACTGGGAGTAATATTTTTGTAAAATGTTGTTATGCTTTAATACAAATTTTCAACCACTGTGTGTCTAAGAAGAATTTTTGTACACATGGGTGCTGCATTACTGTTGGTAATGTTTGTACCTAAACATGGATTTGCTGCTTACTTGATGATGCCTTGCCTGCTTGGATCCCCTGTGTAGTAAGTGGTCCCGCCTTAGCTGCCTATTTATTTATCACAGGTATTTATATTGCGCTGACAATTTTACGCAGCGCTTTACGTAGTTGCACCTTCACATCAGTCCCTGTCCTCAAGGAGCTTACAATCTAAGGTCCCTATCTCGCATACATACAGGGCCAATTTAGACAGGAGCCTACCAGCTCCTACCAGCATGTCTGCGCAGTGTGGGAGGAAACCAATGCAAGCGAAGGGAGAACATACATACTCCTTGCAGATTGTGTCCTGGCTTTGAACTGTGGAGCCCAGTGCTTCAAGACAGAAGTGCTAACCAGGAAACCGCTTTGCGGTATAGTAACAGGTATTGTGTTCTAAGCAGACCATCTGCATTTTGTGCTTGGTATGGACTTGTGTTGACACGTTGCATCTTGCGTAAACCTTTGTTCATCTTCTAGAAACTTGTAGTCAGCATATGGCCAAAGATGGTTGCCAAGGTATTTTTGGTGTGAAGATCTGACCTGTGTAAGGGGAGCCTTAAAGCGAATCTTTACCCATATCTTTAAAATAACAACAAATGCACCATTAGAAATGTTTAGTAATGACAATCTACAAACACATACTTCTAGATAATTGCAGGCTTTGTATTCTGTACATACCTTATTTCTCTTTTCTTCCCCAGTCTTCTGGCAGTGGCCATGTTAACTAAGGGCAGATTACTAGATCTCCCTTTACTTCCTGGCACATGTGACTAGGACATGTGATCAAGTACATTACCTCACGGGAGGAAAATGCCTTTATCTGAGATCTCCTGAGATTTCCCAGCAATGCACTGCTGATATGACCTTCCCAAGATGCAATGCTTGGGCATAATACATAATTTGTGCCAGAACTGGATGAACTCTAAGTAAATTAAAAACAAGTTTAATTACCTAATGAATGTAAGATGATTTCCTATCATCATGCAGTGTTGCATGCTGCTGTGATTTTTAGTGAAAGGGGGTAAAGGTCCACTTTAATGACATCTACTCATGAATACCTCCCCCGTTGTATTTAAGGTTTGGGCTTCAGTTGCTATGAATTTAGTGTATTTGCGATTTTTCCTAGCGCTGCTAAATAAATCTGATTATGGCAACAAGTATTGTGGAATATACCTATGATGCAAAAGGTTGAAGAGCTTCAGTCCGCGCTCTGAACTTTCATTTCTCTATACCGCTGCTGTCTGTCAACTCAATATGCATGATGAACACCTTTTTATAACTGCTGTAGTATTTATGATAAATTAAATATTTCTGAATAATTATGTTACATTGTTTTGCAGTGTTGTCAATGTTCTTGATACAATGTTACTCACATCTGAAATGCAAATGGGTCTATATACAAATAGGAATGTTCTTAATGAAATTTCTCTTCTGGACAAATGTTCATTCATCCACAACAGAAGGAATGGGGCAAATGCTATACGTTACTGCACTGTTTCTGGCCGTAACGCACTGCAACTGGTGTGAACGGGCCCTTTGGCCAGGTTCACACCATTTTCCTCACCAGATCACTAACATGGTGCATTGCGTTTAGAGGCGTTTTACCACAATTCTTACGCATTTTTCTCTTTTTTAATCTTAAAATGGGCTTACAGGTGCAGTCCAGTGTGTTTTTTGCCTGCATTTGTGTTTTTGATTCATTCCAGTGCATTCCAGACCAGAGAAAATGAGACAAGCAGTACTTTTTTGGTCTGGTCTGGAACGGACTGCGCTGGTGTGAGCTAAGCTCAGAAATACCATAGGGATACATTTAGGATATTTTTTTTGGTCTGGGAACAAACTGTTCTGGTCTGGACATGGTGTGACCAAGCCCTAAACACACTGTGACAATTTCACTGCTTGTAATCTCCTCTGCAATGCTCTGAATTATCAAAACTACTTATAACAGTTTTACAACAAATCTACAATAAACAGCAAGTTTACCACATTCTACACAGAAAAACAACTTTATTTCAAATGTAGGAGCCGTCTCTCTGTGACTGCGCGACCTGATTCAGTATGAGGCTGGTGACAGCTCACATGCTGAATCTCCTCACAAGCAGCTCCCCCCACACTCCCTCCTTGGTAGGCCAGGAGGTGAGAAACCAAAGATCATACACTATATTGCCAAAAGTATTGGGACACCTGCCTTTACACGCACATGAACTTCAATGGCATCCCAGTCTTAGTCCGTAGGGTTCAATATTGGGTTGGCCCTTTGCCGCTATAACAGCTTCAACTCTTCTGGGAAGGCCGTCCACGAGGTTTAGGAGTGTGTCTATGGGAATGTTTGACCATTCTTCCAGAAGAGCATATGTGAGGTCAGGTACTGATGTTGGACGAGAAGGCCGGGCTCTCTGCTCTAATTAATCACAAAGCTGTTCTATCGGGTTGAGGTCAGGACCCTGTGCAGGCCAGTTAAGTTCCTCCACCGCTCACCCATGTCTTGGACCTTGCTTTATGCACTGGTGTCATGTTGGAACAGGAAGGGGCCATCCCCAAACTGTTGCCACAAAGTTGGGAGCATGAAATTGTCCAAAATGTCTTGGTATGCTGATGCCTTAAGATTTCGCTTCACTGGATCTAAGGGGCCAAGCCCAACCCCTGAAAAACAACCCCACACCATAATCCCCCCTCCACCAAACTTTACACTTGGCACAATACAGTCAGGGCAAGTACCGTTCTCCTGGCAACCGCCAAACCCAGACATGTCCATTGGATTGCCAGACAGAGAAGCGTGGTTGGTCACTCCAGAGAACACGTCTCCACTTCTCTAGAGTCCAGTGGCGGTGTGCTTTACACCACTGCATCCGACGCTTTGCATTGCACTTGGTGATGTAAGGCTTGGATGCAGCTGCTCGGCCATGGAAACCCACTCCGTGAAGCTCTCTATACACTGTTGTGTATGCCAATCTGAAGGCCACGAAGTTTGAAGGTCTGTAGCTATTGACTCCGCAGACAGTTGGTGACTTCTGCGCACTGTGCCCTTCAGCATGCGCTGACCCCGCTCTGTCATTTTACATGACCTATCACTTCATGGCTGAGTTGCTGTTGTTCCCAGTTGCTTCCACTTTGTTATAATACCACTAACAGTTGACCGCAGAATATTTAGTAGTAAGGAAATTTCACAGAACACCTGAATCCAATGATTTGCAGAGGTGCCCCAATACTTTTGGCACTATAGTGTATATTCGTGTGGGAGAGCTGAAGAAAATCCCAGCTCCTTGCAGGATTTGTGGGTGGGGACTGAGAAGACACGCCCTCCGCATTTTGTAGTCCTTCACATGAACCAGGACAGAGGGAGGCTACTTTTCAGCACACACAGGGACCATAGAGAAGAAAAGTAGTCACCCTCTGGCAGGAAGTTGTGGCTGGAGAAAAATAAAATTTGATTTTTGAGCATTAGAGCTGAACAATGACAAAAAAGGTACACAGTCATTTATTGTTTATATAATATTAGCTATTTTTATTATTTAATGTCTGAGTTTAGTGTCGCTTTAATCTTGACTTGAAGAGAAGTCGAGGCTTTACATACGTTCCTAGCCTAGGATCCAGAGTCCTCCTCAAGCACAAAGGAGCTGATGTAAAGGCAAGAGCAAGCACACTTTGGTGAATGTGACAAGCTCGCTCCCGTGGTGGACTACAATCTCAATACAAATTAGTAAACTAAACATGAGATTGTAGACCATCACAGGAGGGAGCTTGGAGCGGTGACTACTTTACAACACACACAGGGACCATGGGGAAGAAAAGTAGCCACTCTCCAGGAGGAAGAATAGTGTCGGCACCAATTCAGAGATGATTTGAGAATCTACAGCTGAGTGATACACAAATAAGATACATTTTTGTTAATAGGCTGCATTCACACCTAAGCGACGCCTATTAGGCACGTCTTACACATATTTTTTGTGCGTTTTACGACCAGATTGTGGCATATTCATGTGCATGGACAAAACGTGCCAAATCTGCTCCAATGTAGCTCATGTATTATTTTGTGTGACAGGCGTATTTCTGCTTGTGACAAAACACCCAGGTGTGAACAGGGGCCATAGAACTAAGTGGGATTCTTGGGGTCGAGCATTTTGTTGCGATGATTGACACGTGACAATAGGCTTAGGTGTGAATGCAGTTTAAGCCCTCATTCACACGGGTAACGGCCGTCCCGTACATATCGGTGCTGCATGCACGGCCGTATCGGGCAGCTCCCGGGAAGGACAGGTGCTGCGTGTGATTTGTACACAGCAGCCTGTCCTTCTCCATGGGAGTACGCAGTTGTACGCCGCCCTATGCTCACCCGAATTGCCCGTCTGTATGGGTGGGGGTGTCCCTGCTCGGACGCAGACAGGATCCATCCTGTCACCGTACGAGTACGGACACATGCGCGGACAGGCAGTTCGTGTGAGTGTAGGGTGGCGTACGGCCGCATACTCCCATAGAGCAGGACAGGCAGCACCTGTCCTTCCCGGGAGTGGCCCGGTATGGCCGTGCACGCAGCACAGATCTGTATGGGCCGGCCTTTTCTTGTGTGAATGAGGGCTTAAGATTGAACTCCTGAGTTTAGTGTCACTTTAAGACATTACTGCTATTTTGCTTGCTCTGCATTATTACACTCAATTTTTTTGCAGTCACGCTGAAAAGGCTTTAAGAGCATGAAGATATTGATTTTTTTTTGTACACCTGACACATTTTTCTTACTTCAGTTTTCACTAGAATTACCCAGAGATGGTGACATAAGGTCTGGAGAGGTGTGCTTGTTTGCTGTCCACAACTGGGGAGTGCTGATAAACCAGTAACCCAGTTATGTCCTGTCTATGTACAAACTGGAGAGGATCTAGCGGAGGGGTAACATACCTGAGGCCTAGTAAAGATGGCAGATGAACCATTTTAAAAGGGCCCACTGTCTAATGTGTGACATACCCATGTTTTTTTAATTTGTATGCCTTGATAACGCTATAGGGTAGATATAAGCTGGTTCAATCTGATAGGGCATCACAAACATGTGCAGGGAAGCCAAGCGGGCAGCCTTGCAGAAAAACAAGACAATACATCTTTAGCGGCTCAGGGAGTGTGTAAGGTGAGTATAACATCTTCTTTGCAGGAAGTACTACTTATATTTCAGCTACAGACGCTCTATATCAGGCGTAGGCAACCTGGGCACTCCAGCTGTGGTGAAACTAAAAATCCCATCATGCCTGTGGCTGTCAGTGTCTTGCAGTGCCTTATGGGATTAGTAGTTGTACCACAGCTGGAGTGCCAAGGTTGCCTACCAATGCTCTACCCTACACCTAAACTGTGCATGTGTTCCAGACTTGAGCATTTTCACTTAGGCCAATGGAAAGCTAATTATTAAGAGGAGTGTTTTACAAATGCTTCCATTGAAGAATTGAAAAATACACCATTCTGCCCAGCAAGAAAAACCTCATGTACTTTTCTAGCTGCAAGTGACACCACACTCGTGTGTGAATGAGCACCATTGAAATGAATGGGTTCCTTCAAGTTGAGTCTCCTGACCAGGGCTGTCCCTATTATGAGGTGTTTGCCTCAGGCAGCATCTCTCAGGGTCACACCCATTTCTGGCCAGACTGTCCCAGGTTGGGACTCTAACTTGCCTTCCACCCAGCTCCTGGCAACCAGTGACATCAGTGAACTGGGAGGGACACGAAAGGCAGACCTGAGGAATGCAACCTAGTAAGCCACCACCACAACATGCACCATACGCCGTGACCCCCGTTCACCTTAGAAAACACGCAAAAAATAGCTTAACCTCTTGCCGTCCGCCCGTAGTAAAAAAATGGACGGACGGCACTGCTGCATCTGCGGGTTGCCGTCTCCAGACGGCAATTTTTTTCTGCTCGCGGGCACGCACGGGCAGAAAAGACCCGATCAATGCACACACCCGTTAACGGGTGTTTCACATATAGGCGATCAGCGGGTCCATAGCCCGCCGATCGCCTATATGTGCTCGTTCGC